TATATATATATATATATAAATATTTATATATATATATATGTACTGGGTTGCCGCCATTGGGGACGGGCCGAACGCCCGAACCCAAACGCCAAAACGTAAGGGACCCCTTCGGAAGGCGTTCGACCGTTCGGGCCGAACGCGAACCAAAAAAAAAAAAAAAAAAAAAAAAAAAATATTTTCAAAAATTTCCGGAAAAAAACATGTTATGGACAAAAATCAACTAAACAACATTTGCCTGCGCACTACATCCAAATGCCTTACCAAATTTGATATTAAAATCAAATACAGAAAATAAACACTATGATCAAAATAAAAAAAAATAAAAAGAGAATTAAAATTAGTGAGTGTGCCAGCACCTTTTCCACACCGACATCTTTGTCGATTTTTAATTATTTTTTGGCATTGACAAATGCCCTGAAAATTTACATATATGTAGTTTACATAATCAATAAATTGTTAAAAAGTTTTCAAAAAATAATAATTTTTTTTAGGCCCCGAAATAAAGTGAAAACAAAAAGTAAAAAGTGAAAAAAAACAAAATAGTGAGTGGCCGAGCACGTTTTGACACCACCATCATTGACGATTTTTCATGTTTTTTTGGATTAGAAGAATGGCTTGAAAATTTATAGGCGTGTAGGCTACATCATAGAGAACTCAAAAAAACAAATTCAGGAAAAAAAACGTATTTTTAGGCCCCGAAAAAAAATTTGGCGGGGGCCAAATTTGGAGGTGTTCGGCCCCCGAACGGGATCCCAAACGCCCGAACGTTCGCGGGCCAGCCCGGAGACCCCCGAACGTTCGGTCAGGTAACCCTGTATATATATATATATATATACATATATATATATATATATAATATATTTATATACACGGTCACCAGCCCGTACGTACGGTCGTTCGGGGTCTCGTATGGGGTCCAAACCTGACGACATTTGGCCCCCGCCAAAAATGATTTGGGGACATAAAAATAAGTTTTTTTTTCTGAATTGTTTTTTGTGAGTTCTTTATAGCGTGACGTACATGCCTATACATTTTCAAGTCATTTGGTTTAGCCAAATGAGAATGAAAAATCGCCAAAGATGGCAGTGTCAAAACGTGCTTTCCCACGTTTTTTATTCCTTTTTACTTTTTGTTTTCACTTTAGTTCAGGATTTAAACGATTTTATTATTTCTTGAAACTTTTTAAGTGGCTTTTGTATTATGTGACGTATACATCTGTAAATTTTCAGGGTATTTAGCCATGCGAAAAAAAAAATGAAAAATCTCCAAAGATGGCCGTGTCAAAAACGTGCCCGTTCACTCACTAGGTTTAATTCTCGTTTTGTTTTTATTTATTTTTGTTATTAGCTAGGCTACCAGAGTGGCCCGGGGTCACTTGCCCGGCCAGGCCAAAAAGATAAAAAAATATCTTCTTTTTTTTTTTTTTTTTTTTTTTTTTTTTTGGTAGAGAATTTCGATGTCAGATTGAGGCAAAAGTTGTTTAGTTTATTTTTCTACATAACATAGTATTTTTATAGATTTTTTGGAGTTTTTTTTTTTGGGGGGGACCTTCCCTTGTCCTTGCACGGGCACGTAACCCGGGGCCCGGGCGCCCGGCTAATAGCCTAGGTTCTTAGTATTTCTTCTCCGTATTTTATTTGTATTTCAAATTTGGTAAGGAATTCGGATGTAATGCTTAGGCAAATCTTGTTTAATTTATTTTTCTCCATAACATATCTTGTTTTCAAATTTTTTTGAT